AGTTAGCCGCGCCTTACAAGCCGACACACATTCTGCATGTGCCTGCTGATTTGGCTCTTGTTCTTCCCTAGTTGCCTGAAAACTAGGCCCAGTATCTTTGCTGCCAAACAATTTCTTTTCTTAAGGCTGGGAATGTCAAAGATTTGCAATTCAATTTTCTAGCTCTTTTTAAACCTTTTATCTCATGCAGATCTTTTAAGTCAACAGACCACAATGAGAAGATTTACTACCGTAGTAGATTAGCTGTGGTTTTGGTGTAGGTGCTCTATATTTGTGTCTGAATTTTTTTTGTTAGGCTGATCATCTGGCACTGTTAGCTCTGTCCTGAGTGATCAAATCTATTCAAAGATGGAAAGGTATGTTAACCCTGTAAGTGTAGGAATTATGTTGCTTATTCGTGTTTTGTATTGTTGTAGATTAATATGAGTGCAGAAGAAATAGCACTTGCAGAAGAGAACTTGCACTCAAAGTATTAAACAAGAGGCAATAACTGGTTGTAGATAAAGCTCACAAGAAAATGAGACCATGTTGATTAGCATGAGTAAAATGCATTTGCAGTGTCCTAGCAACCTGGCTTGTGTTCTCCATAAAAGAGATTCTTAAGGAGGAAACTGAAAGGAATTAATATTTCACCTATTTACAAGATTCTTCACTGAAATTCGAGCAAATGCAAGAGGGAGAGTCAAGGTTTTCGGTTTGAAAATCTGAAAAATGGGCTAGGGAGACTCCTAGCAGTTATAAGTGAGTTTGATACTGACCAAAATAAGGAGAACTGAAACAGATGCTGGAGAGAGATATGATTCTTAAAATTCATTTTTACAGTTTTGGGTTGCAGGCTTATTATCCCAAGCAGTTATTACAAGGAAATAGGAGGGGGAGCCAAGGATGTAACTAAGGAATCAAGGACTTGCAATAAATCCAGCTCTTTCATTGTCCTTCTCTGTGCTCTTTTGTCATGGTAATTTACCTTACTTAGCCTATATCTGATGAAAGAACAAGTTCATGGATACAAAAGATCTGTGTAAGTACTAATTAGTTACAAAACAAGGTAATTAGATTTAAATAACCTCTTGCCAGGAAGGTATGTAAAACCCAGCTGTGATATCTGGCTCTCTGTCCTGCTACTGAACTCATTCAGACAGAATATGATCTACCTTGTGAACAACAAATTTGCTTGTTGCTTGTTGTGCTTATGGAGGGAAGCAAAAAAACCCCTAAACCCCAAACCCATGTTTTCTTGTTTCAAAGTTCTGCTTTACCTTTACAACTTCACTCTATATCTATATATTACTGCATTTAAATTTAAAATTAGACTTTATTATTGTGCTAGCTCTTTAGGCAGACTGGGTACATGCTAGAAGAAGAAACTTAGTACGTATATTCTAGGAAGTTTATCACACTTGCAATCAATCGTGGACTTGTTAGCAATTTCTCTTAGAGAATTTCTCTGCTAGAAAGAAGGAAAAAAATTAGGCTTACTAGAAGAAGAGGCACAAAGGAAGCCTTCTTCTGTACCTTTGTTTCTTGTGGTGGTTCTGTTCTACACTGAAGTGTAACTCTAAAAATACAGACACTTTTGCCCAAATGAAGAGAGTAGTAACTCTAGGCCTCAAACAACTCCTTCCTCTGCAATTAAGAAAATGGAGCATTTAGTAATGTTAGAAAGGAATTTTGCAAAAGAAGCGAGAACCAAGAGCTTAACTGTAAGTCTAGTTCATTCACAACTTGAGTTGGCCCACAAAAATCTTTAATGAAGTAGTATTTTGTGAATTCTGAAGCCTTGTAGGAAGGGTAGCTGATTTTTTTTTTTAATTTTCAGAGAACAGACAATTTGTTTAACTTTATTAAAGTAAATGCTGTATTTTAACATTTAGATGTGTATTACTTATTGTGCAGAAGGGTTCAAATAACACTTTTGGCTTTTAGTTAATGAGAAATCCCATTTTGATTATTAGAGGGAAGTATGAGAATGAATGTAAGATTCCCCCCTGCCACACACCCGCAAAAGCTCTGTTAGCTTGAGACTGATACTTGAGTCTTTTCATGGACTGCTAAAAATGGTCCTGAAGATGCTTTTTACATGTACTGTAATTTTTGCAATGCTTTTGCTTTTTATAGGTTTCGTTATAATCCATGATTGGTTGTGGATTTTGTTTTTGCAATTCACACACACATACATAAAAAGGGAAAAAAACCCTCGTTTCCTAAGAACCTGTGTCTGTAATGACGTTAAAAACAGAGTAGCTGCATAATGGTAGTGTATTAGCGGCTTGATGTCTTTTGCTGTGAAGTCATTGGACTAATGGTAATACAAATATTTTTTTCTTTGTGGCCCTTTACAAAGTGGCTGCAAATGATTTCACAGTCTTATGGCTATGTTAGTTATGGATGTTTAGTGGTCTATTATATTCTGTTGCTTGATGTTACATTGCTGGCACAACTTGTGTGGTCACTTTACATTAAGATAAAGAAAGAGGATAATGAGGTGTTGCTAAAGCAGAGTGGATACTTCTGGCCTCTGATTTACACTCTTTTCACAGTGGTGTGACAGTACAGCTTTCTGGTTAAAGATGAGTATGTGCCTTATGTCTTATACCAAAGCATTCTTGAGTTCTGCCTCAAGGTTTTTCTAAAGTTCTTGGGTATAGACTCCTTTGCCACTGAAACATGGTAGAAACTTTGGCAGCTGCACTAAAAAAATAGTTTCACAATGATGGGGGAGGGAATCTGTAATCTGGTGGTGTATTTGAAGTCTTGAACTGGGCATGTTAGTATTGATCATGAATCTTTTTTAATTATGACTTTTAAACACATTTACATGAAGGGTATATCCAGCCTGTGTGTGTATCTGGATTTAAAAAAGAAGTCCTCTAAGCAGTTCTAGAAAAAGATGCTATTACTGGCTTGCTGAGAGAGGATTAATTAGGAAAAGTCTTCCCTTATCTGGATTTCTAGAAGTTACAGTGGTTCACTTCCTCTTAGCCAAGAATTATTATACAGAATGACACTAGGCACTATATTAAATAATTATGTTGTTATCTATTTGTTCTCTGGGGCTTGATATTTTGGTTAACTTTGAAGTTATTTGCTCGACAGCTGTTCACTTGTCAGATGAAGGGATCCACTTGAAATAACTTGTAACGGAGTGTGGTATGTTTGAATAACTAAAAGTCAGGGGGAATCTTAAAATTTGGGAGATGTCCAGGAGGATCTCTTTTGCATAAATACTAGCTTTACTCTGCATACCTTTTATTCCCCCTCTCCCTTTTCTCCAGTACTGATACTCGAAAAGGTGGAAAATGGAGATCTGAGCAACAAGATATTGAAGATCACGGATTTCGGCTTGGCCAGGGAATGGCATAAAACTACCAAAATGAGCGCAGCTGGGACATATGCCTGGATGGCTCCTGAGGTCATCCGCTCCTCCATGTTCTCCAAAGGCAGCGATGTGTGGAGGTATTCATTTGGCGTTAAGTGATTGGATACTAAAGAGTAACTAGACCTGCCAGGAAACCTCTTTTATGTTTAAGAATGAGTAATGGTGAACCAAATATTAAAATACAGGTCTTAAGAAAACTGTATCCGACAGCTTTCCATCTATCAGACTCTTGGACTACTTTGTATTAATTGTAAACAATTTTTCACTGTAGAAAGTGGTGGACCAGCTCCTGCATGCCTCTCAGTTTTTGTTGTTCTATAAATTTACATTCAGATTAGCCTAGGATTGATAATCCCAATTCCCTCTGCTTTATCTAAAACAAACTTCTTGTGTTTATTTGGCTATTAGCTGACATAATCAAAGGCCATTAAAAAAAAAAAAATTCTGTGAAGTACCTAAAATTACTACTTTTTTACTGGTTTACCAACAGTAAGATCATTTTATGTTTTGGTAGTAATGTGTTACTGATGTATATGTACACAAACACACTGTACCTAATCGAATTCCCCATACAGTTTCAGCCTGAATACAATGTTTTTCACTTTCATAATAATCTTATTAATTATTTCCATCCTTCTAGTATTTCACATAAAAAAATAAATCTCTTCTCTAGGTCCATGTGAGTATGTAATTTATAAGTAGTAATTTCCATGTATATATTGTCTTTGCCATTCATGCACTGGAATTTTTGAGAACAGAAGCTACTTTGATGGGGAGGAGTGTAAGGGTGAGCCCACAGACTTCCAGAAACTGAATTTGAATATGACCATTAAGTGAGTTGGTAAATCCAGAATTTAGGAAATAGCTCTAGGACAGGGACTTTTCTGGATGCTGTGTGACATAGAATTAGTACTGAACATCTGAAACAGATGAAGTAGGTGGAATTTTGTGTTTCCTGTGGGGAGAGAGATACTGAAATGTCAGGGTGACTTCAGAGCAGTGAGATTCTGTTGCTGGCCAGTAATGCTCCCACACAAGTGTGTGCATGCTGTGAAATCTGTCAGGATAAAGAAATATCCCAGCTGGCAGAATTGTCAGTTGTTATGGCAGAGATTTGGTGTGGGGATTTTCATTTTCCTTATCCAGTTTTGTTGAATAGATAATGTATTGCCTTGCGATAAATGTGTGAACTTGTATTTTGCACACTAATGGTGTGGATAAAATTCTGACTCTTATTAAATGTGGTAGCCTCTGTAGTTAATCTGAGATGAATTGAGCAAGAACCAGGCTTTTATTCTGAGTGAAGTCTGGCAGAAATGAAAACCTAAAGGCTGTACACCTTTTCTGTGCACATGATGACAGTACTGGTTTGTACACAGCTTATCAAGCTCAAACTTCAATTTGCTTTTCTCTGAAACAGTGCCAGGAATGGCCTTTAATGGTAACCTGGGGGAGAGGGAGAAGGGAAGGGGGAAACAGCTTCCCTGTGATTGTAACTTTACTAATCCAGGCAAGTGAGCACATCACTAGATGTTCTGTACCAGTATGACCTCATTTTTAAAAAACATAAGACTTAATAGGTCAGTTGGTGATTTTCATGAAGGTAGCTCGAGTGCCTCTATACCTGTGCAAAAATACCAGTTCAGTCCTTGACTTAAGGACTGTGAATGACTTCAGGATTTAAGGATTGTAAATAACTTAAATTATTTGTTAGTTTTTCAGAATACGGTATTTCTATTTTTAAGATTCCTTCATCGCTTTCTCTTTTTATAGTTAGAAGTCTTCCCTTGAAAACATGTTGAGTTCCTCTCAGTGCTCTTCCTTAAACAGAGGGTCATCACCATTAAGAGAGCTGTTACACTGTCTCTGAATAAGCCTTCTCTGTCTGGTGGCCAATATGTTGAATCATAGTTAAATAAGGTGAAAAGAACATGGTGTTTGAGGCATGTATGTATGTATGAGGACAAATACTTGCCAGTGTGGTCACTACTAGTGTGTCAATGATTGTAAGCACTGGATTTTACAAAAGCGGTCATGGACATGTGTAATAAATCCTGTCCCCACCCAAGGATGCAACTTGAAATTCTTAACAGGATGAACTTTTAAATCCTATTAGACTTGCCCCTCCTCTTGCCCACTTCAACCTCTTGGTTAATCACTGGAGTCGAGGGAGTTTTTTGCCTGATAGCCTTCCAGTTAGCCTGTGCAGCATCAACAAAATTGGCTGTCTGTCTCTAACATCCACAAACCCTTTTATTTAAACACCTTTTCTTTAAAGCTTATTAGAATAATACTGCTGGCTGAATTGTTGCCCAACCTTTAAATGAGAATCTTGTTCTGCTTGTGTTCTTGCTGCACAAACAGGTGAAGAAGATGCTTGCCAGGACTGAAATTTCCTGAGTCAGTCTTATCTCATCATAAATAACTGCTTCATGAAATTTCTTTCAAAACATATATCAAGCTCCATTTAAAAAAAATTCAATCTGGTTTTTTGGTGGTTTTGTTTGTGGGTTTTGGTTTGTTTTTTTTTTTTTTGGTCCCACTCTAAAGGAGGGTTGGCAAAGAACTTCAGAGGCTGAGGAATGCTCTCAGACGCTGGTGTCTATCACCAGGGTCTGGGCCACTGTGAAGCTTCTTGATAATAAGAGTACTTAGTACATCTTGCTAGTGAAAATTTGTTGCTATGAATTTTGCTGTGCTGTATCTGCAAGCAAGATACACAGCAGAAATGTTGTGCCTATATTGCACAGAGGACAAGAAGCTACATTTTATTTAAAAATGTTGGTTCCTGTAAATCTGTTTGTGTTTGAGAGGCAAGTTATATATTTGCTTTGGATTTTCAGGGGTGAAGTTGAAGCACAGATATTGCAGCTTATCCAATACTGTACGGCAAGCTAATGTTAGTAGGCACATAATTCAAATTTCCCTTCATTTTAACTGCTTAAATTTATTTCTTGTTTGCACACTTCGTTTTTGATTTGTGCTGCTTAAAAGACAATCATGTTGTCAATGTGGTTGGTATGCGGAATATAAAGCCACCATACAGCCTTCATCTGAGTTCCCTGTGTTCCTCAGTTTAGAGGCTTTTAAGATGTATCTACTTTGAGACCAGTGAAATAATTAGGAATTTGATTTTCATTTAGGGATGGAATACCCAGAACTACCTAAAACCATCTGATCAGCAGATCAGGATGTTTCAGGCATTCAGTGGTGGGTGTAGGAACTTCAGTCATTAGAATATTTCGTTTGAATCAAGTGTTGGCAAGCAATTCCATCCACAACTGAGTGCTTGCAGGTTTCTGTAGTCTTCTGCGTGTAATGAAGCACTGGCAAGACTTCAGTACCTGGCAGATTAAGTGTTGACTAGCAATATTGGTAGAAGCTCACGTGGGAGAAGTGTATGCTACTGACTGTGAAATAAGCAGGAAGTGTCCTCTCTGGAACTGCCAGTCCGATAACATGCAAAATGCTAACTGTTAGTAGCCATTAAAATGTAATGAAGTTGTTTTCTTAACAAAAATAATATTCTAGTTTCTGTTGTTGCTGGGATCTCCTTGTTGGGCTGATAGTTCCTTTTTCATGGAAAGTGCTTAACCTAGGTAGATGGGTAAGAGGAAGGTGTGGTACAAATGCCATTGAACAATATAGGTGAGAAGAAATTACTGGGTTTTTTTCTAAGATCACAGACTTACCACAGAGGTGGCAAAATCACATGTGAAATCCTGCAGACCTCCAGCCTCCCTCTCCCTGGAAATCTAGTGTGTAGGATTGAACCTGATGTTAAATGGCTTAAGGGATTACTGGATCACTGGGAGATGGTTAATTATTCATACAAGTGTCAGTTGACTTGGACGCATGGTTTGTATCACATGGTTCATTTCATAATTAAGGTCCAAAAATCACTACTGGGTGGTGGAAAATAAATGAGCTTGATCAGTTTTTCTTCCTCCCTGCTGAGAATGAGGAGAGGCCCTTGATTCTTTCTTCCTATGCCTTTTTTGTGTAAATCTCTTCTGTCTCTGGCTTTTTCCTTTGTAATTCCCAATCCCCTGCTTGAGAGTTAATGGAAAACACTCTGTTCAGCACCTCTCTTGATGCTTAATCAGCTGGGATGATTGTTGTTCGGATGCCACAAAAGCAGTTTCCCTAGCTCTGTGGAAGCAGTATTCTCAGCAATGAACTGTAAGTATGTGAGGAAGAGGTGGCATTCAGTTTTGTCAGAAATGGTGACCTTTCCTGCAATATATACTTCTAGTGTCACATTAGAAGACACCAATCTGTCCGTTCCTTGGTCTTTTAAAAATTAGCCTGCAGAAGAAATGCTTTGAGCACAGAAATAGTGCTTTCCTAACCATTCCATTAGTGCTTTATCCAGCACTAGTGGTAAAGTAATAACGTAACTCTTTGGTAGGTTTTCCTACCCTTTAATATCAACACTCACACCCAAACTGAAGAGTAACGTGAACAATCAATCAGATTTAGACAGGCCAAATATATATTCAGTCCGGTATTCATTTTCTTTGAGTGTCTTACAAATCCTAGAAGGCTAAAAAGAAAATGGGAAATCCTTAAAGTCCCGTTTATTTTTTTCAAATGAGGCTCTTGAGACACTAAGAAATTGTGAACCTTGATGGAAAGCAATAATCAATTCTAATTATAATATCAAGAGTATGCATCACATAGGAAAAATGCAAAAGATTTTATACGTGAAAAAATACAATATTTTGCTTAATAAAATAAACTACCTGCTGCTTGCTAGCAGCAAAGGTGGAATCTCTAGTGACTGAAATTCCATATCTAAATAGGAAAAGTAGTAAGACTGTCCAGCTAAGGTGGGAGCGGTTACAATGAATGTTAGAGACTTGGTGGGGTGGAGATTGTGAGAGTACATGTTGTGATAATGAAAATTTTTATTACTCCCACATGGGTAGGGCAATTGTTGCTTTGAAACAAGAAGAGATTAAACTTTTAGCTTCAGAAATGATTGTTTCATGGAGCAGCTATTCAGGGAGCTTTTAGGAGGAGAAGCAGTTTTTCATTTGGTCTTCAGGTGTGCTTAGGAGGCCTTCAGAATTATACAATATGACCATGATCAACATATATGTATACTTAGATTCAATATCTTTGCAAGAGCAATTAAAAATTAGTCCATTACAGTAGCGTTTAATCTCAAGGAGACTAATGACAACATTGAGGTGTAAAAAGGGAAATGTGCAAAATGGGTATCTTTTAAGGACACTATGTTAAAGCTCAGAGCAAATGAATAGGAAAGACTTTAAGTGAATGAAGAAAACAATGTAGAAGAGACTACTGGAAGACATCCTTCAAAAAGTTGAACCTGTATTCAAATGAGGAAGATTAGGCATGGACTTAAATGCTGGCAAGTTGAATGTAAAACACTCAAGAAGATTGAAAGGGTTTTGAGGAGAGTCTTGTGAAAAGCATAGAAACAAATAAATTACTTTCAAATGCAGCACAGGTGAGAACCCTGCAGGAGAACATATGGTCCAGAGGTGACCAAGATATAAGAGTGCAAAGAACATAAGGCTGTAGCAGAAAACACTTAGTGACTTGTGTCTGCTAGAATGGAGCAGAGAGGCTTTTTAAGCTGAAAATTTCTCTTTAAGGGAGCTGAGCTGGAGGACATCTCATACTGAAGTACTGTCCACAGAGGTGTTAAAACTGACTGATAAAATGAACAATAACAAATTGCTGGGATTTACAGTAACACCCAAATTTTCTACAGGAACATGAGAGCACCAGCTGAGTTAATAGCTGTGCTGTGTAATCTGTTGCTTAAAGCTGCCTTAATACCAGAGAAATGGAAGGCAGCAAACATGATGACAGGTCTTAAAAGAGCTTCCTGAGGATCAGCAAGTCTGATTTTCAGTTCTACTAAATGGTTGAAACAGCACTAAAGAGCAGGAAGCTGGCAGACATATGAGCATATCTGGGGTAGAGTCAGCTTTTGTAGAAGGAAATCGTATCTTGTGGAAAAAATGAAAATTCTTGAAGGAGTTACTGAGTATGTGGACAAGTGGTAAGATTGCTTATACCATATTTGGATTTATAAAAACTTTCAACAAAATCTTTTGTCAAAAGCTTTTAAAGAAAGTAAATTGATGTGGGAAAAGAGGGCAAGTCTGTTCCCCATCACTTAGTCAATTCTTAATTACTAAAGGAATAAAACAGTTTTCTTCATGGGAAATTCTGTGTTCAACATAATCATAAGTGATTTGAAAAAGCAATAAATGGTTAGGTAACATTTGTTGATGATACCAAGTTATTCAGGATAAGGAAAATTAATCTACTGGAGAGAGCTGAGGAAAAGTTTTACTATACTGAATGATAAAATAGATGAAATGGTAATAACTACAAAGTAGTACCCATGGGAGAATTTCACATGTACAATGATGGGCTCTAAATTTTACTACTATGATTCGGTAAAAAGATACTGGAGTTACTGCGGGTAACCTAGCTCATTTTGTAAGGAGTCAGAAAGGGAAGTGGCAAATTAAAATTTAATAGGAAAGAAATAAGAAAACAGGAAATACTGTGCCTCTCCCTATATCTTTAAAGCTTTATGTGATTTTGGTCATTCCACCATAAAATGTTTACATGGAATGAGATGGTACAGAAGATGTCAAGGTCAATGAAAGATATGAAACGGCTTCTGTTCAGGAGAGTAACTAGGTTAGGATTTAGCTGGATTAGGATTTTGGGGGCTGAAAAGAAGATGATTTAGGCAGGATGTAGTGGGAGCCTGTGAAATCATGGAACGCATGGAAGGAGCTAATAGGGAGCATATGTTCGCTCTTCCTTGTATTGAAAGAACTACAGGGAAGCAAATGAAATTACCAAGTGACAAGCTCAAACCAAACAGACACAAGTATTTTTTAGCAATGCATTGTTAAATTTGTGGAACTCACTACCACAGAACATAGTAGATGGTAAATGGGTTCAAAAGAGAATAAGACAGATCAATGAAAGAAAAAACTGTCAGGGCACCATATGAAGAAGCTGTCTCTGGCTCAGATTTCCTAGAAGCAGAGAGAATGTTCTGAGGATATCTTGTTTGTCATATACCGGGAGGGGAGAACAGTCCTGGAACTATTTCCATAACTTCATAGTTAATATTTCATAGACCATCTGAAGAACAACTTAATTCTGAAGAAGTATTTTTCACTTATTTTTAAAAATCACAATCCTCCTTCACATTTTTGAGAGTTTCACTGGGTTCCATTTTGAAATTTGCTAAATTAGTTAGAAGATTTATGTTAATGCTTTTCAGATTGTTCCCAGTTTCCAGAGAGAAAATGATTTTTGCCTAAAAGGCTAAAATGACATCTTATTTTGGTCTTATTAAAAAAAGCAGATAAAACAAGGCGTTTCACCAGCTTGGCAGCTGTGATGAGCTTGTCCAGAGAACTGCAATTCTTCAGTGTACCAGACTTACCCTGATTCTTGTTGCTTAAAAAAGAATGTGTTAAAGTCAAACACCTATTCTCTTTTCTGTTTTCTTCCTGGTAGTTACGGTGTGCTGCTTTGGGAACTCCTAACAGGAGAAGTACCATTCCGAGGAATTGATGGTCTTGCAGTAGCATATGGTGTTGCCATGAATAAACTTGCACTTCCAATCCCTTCCACATGTCCAGAGCCTTTTGCTAAACTCATGGAAGGTAAGCCAGCTGTGGTGTGAGTATGGTTTATGCTGTTTCTAGAGTTCATTTGAGCATTGCCTCCTTGTGTTGGTTTTGATACCGAAGAGCACAGATTTCTCAAATGGCTTTATTCAATGGTGCAAGTTATTATGGGAGCTAGGCTTGGCTGTTAGTGTGCTGTGACAGTTACTCTCTTACAAGAGTAGCATGTGAAAGAAATTTCCCTGCCATTTTTTATCAACTGGCTTTATAGGGAAATGGGGGCTACTGCTGTCATCTAGCTTGTTTTTTTGTTTGTTTGGTTGGTTTTTTTCTAGTAGTGAAGACTCACCAACACCAAAACTTCACATATTTTGGTCTAGTTTGAAGTCTTCAACTTGTTTTGAAATTCATAGCTTGAACATCTTGCTAGGCAGTGTCAGATTGGTTTGGAATGAAACTTCATCCTACTGACATTTCAGGGAGAGGGTTTAAATGTGGCTTTGACATTTGAAAACAACCCAAATTTTCAGTCAGAATGATGGAATTTTCTGCTTTGTGTGTGCCCAAGGTGGGCTGCACATGGATGAAAGAAATATAGGAGTTTATCATCAGAGCTGCTGTAGTTACTAAAAAGGATTCCATGAGGTAGTTTTTGGGGTGTACCTATGTGACCTGCTCTGCTGGCTATTGCACCTACTTACATACCTCCCAAGCTTCAGTTGTTCCTCCCTCCTTCCTTCCCTCCCTCTCTCACAGTAGTACCTTTAGTGTTGTTTTCAGTGCCCCTATTCCCAAGGATTTCCAGGTGTTTATATGTAATAAACATTTTTATACCTGTCTGGCAGAAAGAAAAAAAACTGAGGTAAAGAGAAATCAAACATGTTTTATAGTCTTAGTGAGCAAAGAATGAGTCTGAACATAGAACTGATATTCTGTGGCCTCTGGTGGTGTTTTTAGCCCCCAGGAAGGAATTTGATTTATGCAGAAAGATGTTTCTGATGGATTTCTATGCTTTTAGAATACTTCCACATTCCTCTGGTCTTTTCTGTAGGTTACAGGCTTCAGTTAAGTTAAAGTAGAAAATTAATGTACTGTTGTGCTAAAAAAGAAATATCCTACTGGATAGTAAACAGCAGCAGAGTTGCAGGTATAGTAGCTTGGAAGCAATGTAAAGCAAGAAACTGCATCTGAAAGAGTTAATGGAACTACCAGCTCAGTGTTGTGCCAGGGCAGTTTATTTTGACATGGTTCCCTAACACAAGGACCCTGGGTTTCTTAAATATAAGTGAAGTATCTGCTGCTGGGGTTAAAAATAATGCCCTCTATTGGGAAAGTCAGGTAGAGGCATATGGCCTGTGCTTGAACCCAGCAGCGCAGGGGTGAGCACCCACGTGGCTTTGGAACGCTTGGCTTCTCCATGTGCAAGGGGAAGAAGAGAACAAGAAAACAATTACTTTCTGCCCCTTCACCAAAACTGTTTTTCAAATGGGCTGTTTCCCGTCTCGGGTGAACTCTTGTTCCCCTAATGCTGCTTTTACTTTTGAATTACTGCCCTGGTGGTCTTTGCTGAGACAACAAAGCTGAACTTTCCCTCTTCGCAGAAAAGACTTGTATGTTACAACTGTCCTCATTAGTGCAAATAATGGCAGATCTAGGCCTGGGAAAATAAAAGCCACGGGCCACCTGCATAGTTATCCTGTTCACTCATTCATGCATTTGGCTGGCTGCAGCATTTTGTTTTACTTTGGGTCATGTTTGCTTTGCCATGCTTAAAACCTGGGGTAAAGAGGCAGGGATTATGGCACTGACAGTCCAGCTGTATCACCCATTACTATTAATTGGTCAGCAGCAGGGGACCTTCAGAGCACTCTTTAACATCCTCAGTTCTCTATTTTGCTAAGAGAAGCAATTTGAAATCCGTAAGCACAAATGTGTTCCAGCGTATGCCTCCTGGAACCTGATCAGATGCTTAAATACCAGCATCTTAATACCAGCAGTTTTGAAACCAAAGCTCCCAAATGCAGAATCTCAGTAACACTAAAATCAAAGACAAGACCTGCAAAACCAAGCCTCAGCAGTTGCACAGATTTTGTGAAGTGGTACTTATTTTTAATTACAGCTGCTCCTTGGTGTATTTCAATCCACGAAACTGATGAATTGGATGTCTTTGAGGACATCACCAAAATTTTTTTAAGAATGTTTCCTTTTTTCCAACTGTAAGGTCTGGGAAACTTTAGAACATTTTTACAACTCTTGCCTCATGCTGCAGTAATGTGTGTCTTTAAATCCAGTGACCATTTAGAGCAATGATAGTATGAGCATATTGAGAGACACCTGTGCGTTAGTTTCTTCCATTCATGCACAAAAGCTGTATTCCCTAGAAATACACTTGAATGCTAAGTTTTTCTGTTTGGTTCTTCTCAAATTTTGGCATGCAGGAGTCTAGCAGTACTAAAGAAAATAAGGATACTTGTTGAACAAGAACTTGCGTAAGTGCCAGTATGGGACAATATAGAATGAGAAAGTGATGTTTTCTGCAGGCGTAGAAAAAAGGGTAAACTAAGAGGGAAGACTGAATGAGTAAGAATTTCTTATTCAAAAGTGTTGTTGTCAAACATTTTGACTTAATGGCTTTTTAAAAACATGTTGTTAATTATTTCATAGCTTGAGATGTTACTTCATACCATTTTCTATTTCCGTTTCTGTTTTCAATGTTCAGTTCCCATCACTGTAAAAGGAGTACCTTTTTGTACTATTGCTAGTTGAGTTGCCTCATGTGGTAAGATGGGTACCTTAAATTCTGCATTTTTAGAGCTCTGTAATTGGGTAAGTCATTGCATTAGATTGTAAATGAAAAAGCTTGTTTATCTGTGGTTTCTCTTAAAAGCAAATGAAAAAAGCCTGATGAAACAATTTTCTCAAAAGAACCCTTTATAATAGGAAAACTCCCAATGCACTATTTGATGTCGTTATTTACTTGAATCTCCTGTTTGCACTCAAGCTATGCCCAGTCTGCTTTGCAGGAGAGATTTTCAGTTCTGCGGAAGAGATTCATAATGACTCAGCTTAGTATTAGAGTTTGGCATTAGGAAGAACTCTGATAGATATCCTTCTGCAGTATGGCTGTTAACTCTGCAGTGTAAGTGTGATAAAAGAACTGTTTGCAAGAGTCTTGCATAGTTTCTCCACTCTGTGAGCACGTACAACTTAAAATATTTTAAGGAAATTATTTATGATTTTTTAATATACACTTGAAAATGTAAATTTCTGTAAAATTAGTAAACCTCTATTTTACCTGGCATATTATTGCAATGGAGCCTAGAGACCAGGTAGTTCAAGAGCTTAAGTGATGTTGGATATCGTATAAGCATGAAAGCATGAATTCCATATTTGACTTATGATCGGACAATAGTCAATGCAAGTGGGAAATGGGAAAGACAGGGTAACACAGATCGTGTGCATGCCACTCTTAGCCACTGGGGATCAGCAAAGTACTACTCATCCTCTCAAACCTCCATACTAAGAGATGCTTAACAGTTGCTTGTCTCCCTCCTATTCTAGATTGTTGGAACCCTGACCCACACTCACGACCTTCCTTTGCCAGTATCCTAGACCATCTCACCGCCATAGAAGAGTCTGGTTTCTTTGAAATGCCCAAAGATTCCTTCCACTCCCTGCAGGAAGACTGGAAACAAGAGATCCAAGAGATGTTTGATCAGCTCAGAGCCAAAGAAAAGGTAAGTAGAGAAAAACACTCCATGCTTGTGCTTGCTGGATTATAGTTTTCCCATGTCATAATTCAAACAGGGATCATCGTTTAGTGCATCCCAGAGTTAATTTTGTATGTGCTTTACTGGAGCTTGTAATAAGTCCCCAAATCAATGGCAAGTTATAATGCACACAAGGGCGGAAACATGAGTAAAATAAATATCTGCATCCTGAGCTGCTACTCCTTCTAATATTGTAGTGAGCTTCCATTATACACTGTGTAAACTGCTATGATGAGTTGTCTTCATTGTTTAATGCATCTGATAACTACTTAACTCTTAGCATCTTCATTGAGAAGCCCAATGATAACTGTTAACAGTAAAAGTAGTGGGGGGATAGTTTCAGCATATATACTCCAGCAAACATTGCAGCTTTGGTTCTGTCATGTTTCTGTTTTACAGGTTTTGAGCACAGCCAAATGGATACACTGTAATAAACATGAGTGCTACCAGGGGGATGGTCCAATAACTGTTATAATTGAAGTCCATCTGGGTAAATAGCAGGAAACAAAAATGTTAGCAGGATAAAAGGAATTGGGACCATCAGCCTTAAAGAGTAGAAGTGAAAAAGCTGAAGTTTTCTTCAAGCATACTTGCAGAAAGCACAGCTTGCTGCATCTATGTTAAGGTCCTTACAGAGACCGTCTTTACAGTTGTTGGTATGAAATACTGCAGTAGAATCACTAAAGCAATAATATTTTTCTAAGTTCACCATCTCTTGCCTAAAAATAAATTTGTAATAAGTAGCCAATTTGATTTGGGTTTAGGAAGCAGAGAGGAAGAAAAGGAGACCTTAGGGCAGGGAAGAGAAGTCCTACAACAATGCTTAAAACATTTCTAGTCACATATTATAGTAGCTTTTGGGAAAAATAAAATAGCTAATAGGCATTTCCCTGCTGCTGTTGTCCTGTGGCATAACTGTGTTGGAACTGTTTTTGAAAACCAGAAACTTCAACAGACAAACAGAAGACCAAATAGTAGTAGCTAGACTGCCCTCAGGTTTTGAGTACTGTATTCCTCTGTAGCAATGGGGAAAGAGAATTTTATATCCTGTTCACCTCATGAGTAAAACGTACCAAAACTCTGTGGTGATGGGACAGGTAACAATGACGTTATTAAAATAAATTTAAAAATCTAAACTAAACTCTATCTGATAATCTATCTGAAGTTTAACTTGAATTCTTCAGTTTTTACCTTCCACAGTGGAATTAGCCAGCTGGAGATAATTATTCTGAGTGCTGAATTCTTTTGTCCTTGTGGTGAGAAGAGAGGAGTGCAGTGAGAAGACATTTTGAGATCTCAAGGACAATTTCAGTTGACTCACTTTGTCAACAAGGGAAAGATTGAAAAATTTGCCTTATGCATCTTTATGCCTAAGGAGCAGCCACGCTTGTTGGAAAATAATGGGAATGACCTCCTGATGATGCTTTCTTCATTCATTTTTGTTAGAGCTGTGTGTTTTGCTATTTCGTGATGCATGAGATGACAAGGTTATATTTAAACAGTTTAACTCGATACTGAAGTTAACATAGGTACTTACTGAACAGGAAAGCAAAGATTAATTCTTTTCAATGTTATGACTAAATCTTCCAAAATGGGTTCCCATATGCATGGTACACTACAATGGCTCTTGTAAACATGTTCATGTCAGATATCCAGCATATTTTCTCATGACTCTGAATGTAGGATTCAGTGCCTTTTCAGAGAATCACAGAGTGGTTGAAGTTGGAGGGACCTCTGGAGGTCATGTGGTCCAACGCCCCGACTCAATCAGGGCAACCTAGACCCAGTTGCCCAGGACCGTGTCCAGATGGCTTTTGAATATTTCCAAGGAGGGAGACTCCACAGCCTCTCTGGGCAACCTGTGCCAGTGCTCAGTAACGCTCACAGTAAAAAAGCGTTCAGAGGGAATCTCCTGTGTTTCAGTGTGTGCCCGTTGCCTCTTGTCCTGTCACTGGGTACTGCTGAAAAGAGCCTGGCTCTATCTTCTTTGCACACTTCCTTCAGGTTTTTATATGTGCTCATAAGATTGCCTTTCCCCCCACCCAAGCCTTCTCTTTGCTAGGATAAACAGTCCCATCTCTCTCAGCCCTTCCTCGTAGGAGAGATGCTCCAGTCTCTTAATCATCTTCATGTCCCTTTGTTGGACTCTCTCCAGTATGTCCATGTCTTTCTTGCACTGGAGAGCCCAGAACTGGACACAGGATTCCACGTGTGGCCTCACAAGTGCCAATGTCCAAATTTTAATACTGATATGAAGGGCCTTGAATGGCAAGCATAGAAATTCTTGAGTGTTGTTTTAGGTTTTTGGCTTTCAGCTGAGCCTTTAAACAGTGGTGCTAGCAGCGCTGTGAGCACAAGTCATTGCTGCTGTACCTTCTGAACAATTAGTTAGTTTTAACCTATAAGTCACAAGGTAGCTTTTTGTTTCTCCTTTCTTATCTCCCTGCAGGAGCTGCGGACATGGGAAGAAGAGCTGACTCGTGCTGCTGTTGAACAGAAGAACCATGAGGAGTTGCTACGAAGGCGGGAACAGGAGCTGGCAGAACGTGAGATTGACATCCTGGAAAGGGAGCTCAACATCATCATCCACCAGCTGTGTCAGGAGAAGCCTCGGGTGAAGAAACGCATGGGGAAGTTCAAGAGGAACCGGCTCAAGTTAAAAGATGGCAATCATATCAGCCTGCCTTCAGGTTGGTGACGTGTTAGGCTGTGTCAGGTGAAATGGGAGGAACAGGTGAACCTGTAGCTTTAGTAGCTACTTTGTACTGATACTTGTACATTAGAAGGTATTGGATGTACTTTGGGAAAAACATGCCTCTTTGGGATCAAGAAATTAAATTTGATGCTCTTGTGGCTAGCATTCCCCAAAGTTCCAAGTATGAAAGCCAGAAGTAAATTTGAGATGTTATGTGTTTGTTAGTAAACCTGCTCCAGCATGGGCTCCTCTCTCTCCACGGGTCCACAGGTCCTGCCAGGAGACTACTCTAGCGCAGGCTCTCCATGGGGCCACAGCCTCCTTCAGGTATCCGCCTGGTGTGTGGTCCTCCCTGGGCTGCAGGTGGATATCTGCTCCACCGTTAACTCCCATGGGCTGCAGGGGTACAGCCTGCTTCACTGTGGTCTTCACCACCGACTGCAGGGGAATCTCTGCTCTGGCACCTGGAGCACCTTCTCCCCCTCCTTCATTGACCTTGGTGTCTGCAGGGTTGTTCCTGTCACATGTTCTCACTCCTCTCTCTGGCTGCAGTTGTGCAGGTTCTGCCCCACCCCTCTCTAAAATATGTTATCCCTGTTAGAAGGTATTGGATGTACTTTGGGAAAAACATGCCTCTTTGGGATCAAGAAATTAAATTTGATGCTCTTGTGGCTAGCATTCCCCAAAGTTCCAAGTATGAAAGCCAGAAGTAAATTTGAGATGTTATGTGTTTGTTAGTAAACCTGCTCCAGCATGGGCTCCTCTCTCTCCACGGGTCCACAGGTCCTGCCAGGAGACTACTCTAGCGCAGGCTCTCCATGGGGCCACAGCCTCCTTCAGGTATCCGCCTGGTGTGTGGTCCTCCCTGGGCTGCAGGTGGATATCTGCTCCACCGTTAACTCCCATGGGCTGCAGGGGTACAGCCTGCTTCACTGTGGTCTTCACCACCGACTGCAGGGGAATCTCTGCTCTGGCACCTGGAGCACCTTCTCCCCCTCCTTCATTGACCTTGGTGTCTGCAGGGTTGTTCCTGTCACATGTTCTCACTCCTCTCTCTGGCTGCAGTTGTGCAGGTTCTGCCCCACCCCTCTCTAAAATATGTTATCCCTGAGGCACTACCACCATCGCTGATGGGCTCAGCATTGGCCCGCAGTGGGTCCATTTTGGAGCCGGCTGGCATTGGCTCTGATGGACATAGGGGAAGCTTGTAACAGCTTCTCACAGAAGCCATCTGTAGCCCCCCTGCTACCAAAACCTTGCCATGCAAAGCCAATACATTAAGAAATGGTGGACGTTCTTGCTCTGAGAATATTTTACATAATGCTGCAGCAGAAACCATAATCTACTGGATTGCTTGGTGCAGGAATCTAAAAATTATCGAAAATATGTTTATAGCTGTGAGACTACAGCCCTATATTGCTAGTTCATTTGTGAACTCATATTAACATACAAGTGACCTCTAATACCACCCTTCTGGAAGAAATGTTAAATGTTGGTGAGGTGTCAGAGAAGTCACTCTTAAGAGTAAAGATGGTGATTTTCAGAAATACTGAATCCTTAGCATTTCTGCTGCAGTTCCTGTATGGAGATTCAAATTTGTAAAAGAATAAAAGTGTGGGTTTTGTAAATAAAGCTCATTGTTACCTCAAGGATGATAGCTTACACTAAATTCTTTGTTTTCTGAGAGAGATTGGCTGTTCAGAAGAGCAATGATGATAAAATCATAGAATCATAGAATGCTTTGGGTTGGAAGGGACCTTGAGAGATCATCGAGCCCAACCCCCCTGCACTAAGCAGGGATTGAACCTGTGAACTTGGCGTTATTAGCACCATGCTCTAACCAACTGAGCTAAAATGTGCATGTTAACTATGCCTTTAGGTCTGTAAACACCTATTGCTGGTGCTTAGCTTAAGAAACTGAGAGATAAAGTGAAAGGAATTTATGCAGGGCTATATTTTGATATAAATGTTATCCAACACACGGGGATCTATGTGTATGTATCTCACACATATACTAAGACGATAATATTCATGAGTGTGAGCACACATCTTTCTTCTGAAGTAACTGCATGTATGATAGGGGGATAGCAATTAGCTGTAAAACTTCATTTCTACATAGATCCTGTAAATTATGCTCTTTAAAAGTTACCATAAATTATTATTTCTTTTTTCTTACATTAAAAAAGAATTTTAACTGTGTCTTTCTGCTTTTGTGTTTATTTTTTTCTTTTGGTCAACAGATTTCCAGCATAAATTCACTGTGCAGGCTTCTCCAACGATGGATAAAAGGAAAAGCTTGATCAGTAGCTGCTCCAGCCCTCCTGCAAGCCCTACCATTATTCCCAGACTCAGGGCCATACAGTGTAAGGAGCTCAATGTAGTATTGAATTTGGGAAATGTGCAGTCTGTCAGTGTGGTAAGATGCCAAGATTCCATATCTAGAACAGGACTCGGGGGGGGGGATTTAAAAAAAATCTTAAAATGTTTGCCTTGTGCCCTGTATGTATGCATTTAGAGAGAAAAATGGAGTGTGTCATTGGAGTCCAAACCTTAAGTTCTTGAAATATTTCTGTCTGATTGTATAGAAAACACATTCCTTAGGTGTACAGGTTAATTTTTAAAAATACTAATTTGCAGAATAGGTCTGTGAAACATTATTGAAGTGGATTAAGTTACTGTTGGAAGGAAAGACAAACAAGGGCGCTTGTCATGAAAATAGTGTTCCCATAATAAAACAGAATTAGGCACACAAGCATGTATTAGAAGTATAAAAGGGATGTTAATTAATGTGTAGTGTTTGTATTGGATACCATGACACTTGTATGTCTGGAATCAAACTGGTGATTCTTAACGAGAAACCAGTGATGGAATAAAGCTGTAAAGCCTATCTGTACTAATTTTGAAGGGATCTGATTGTTAGATCTGTGTTGATAAATGGTCAGAATTATGGGAAAGAAGGCTGAATGGATGTTTTCATTACTATTCCTGTTCCAGCCTATGTGTTATTCTTTATGTTGCTGTGGAACTAATTCTTTAATTTGTGTATCTGTTTTTCTTTCCCATTTTCCACTGTTCTTCCCACTTGTGAAGTGACTCCTGCTGAAAGCAGTAAAACGTGGGGACGAAGCTCAGTCCTTCCAAAGGAGGAAGGAGAGGAAGAAGAGAAGAGAGGCCAGAAGAAAAAGGGACGCACTTGGGGACCAAGCTCACTTTGTCACAAGGAGCTAGGTGCAGGAGAAGATGGGTAAGAGAGGGCCTGGAACCAGACTGGTTTCCAGGTTCTAAAACTGGTTATTAGGTGGCTCACAGGAGATTTGCTTATCCTTTTGCAAACACTTTTCTGCTTCCAATCTTATTTGCTGTACCAGAGATGTTAGAGATTCAGAACAGATTACAAAGCTACATTGCATTCGATCCCTTGCTGGAGGTCCAGCACTGACTGATGCTTTCACTGTCTGCCATTACCTTGTTATGTGTATTTGTAAGCAGTAGAACTTCTTAGCTGTGCAAAACTGTTTCTCTAGTAGCTTTTCTTTATTTTCAGGCTCAACTTTCTGTAGTTTCCTATCATATCTGAAACTACTTCTCTTCTACAATTCTTAGCTATACTTTTTCTTGTCTTAAATGCTGTTATTTAAACAGTGTCTGGTAGAGCCAGGCAAATATCTTCTCTTCAGACTTTTGAAAAGAATGCACACCTTGAGTGAATACATCCTGAAAGTGACTTTTGCAGACATACAGGTTGTACCTCTATTTCAATAGATTCTTGTTCTGTGGCTTCTTTTTTTTAATGTGTGCGTGAACTATTTATACCAGGATTCCAATGGATCATTGCTGAAATGCTGCTTTAAACATGATCTTCTAAGAGGTTTGAATGCCTTGTGATTTTTAGTAGAGTTTGAAGCTTCTTCCCCTGCTAAATTGATAGTTTGACTCTTGCTGTATTTTTTTAGCGGGGAAAATAAAACAACTGGCTATAATTTATCTTTTAACATTATGTGCTCAGGTGTGAAATTCCTGGAGAATAGATGTTTATATAATGCATCACTATTGCAGTCCTCTGCAAGAGGGCCTGGATCTAAGTGTTCTGATGACATTAAAATATGTTCTCCTTCAAACGTACTCTTGACATGTTAACAGGGCAGTGTGGAGGAAGCTTCTTTGACTGCTGCCTATGCTTTGCCTATTCTATAGATGGAGTACAGCATTCTACAGAATTAAAACAGATAGAATCATAGAATCAGAATCATTTAGGTTGGAAAAGACCTTTAAGATCATCCAGTCCAACCATTAACCTAACATTACCAAGTCCACCACTAAACCAATTAATTTCATGTTTCCTGGCTTGGTGGTTGGATTATTTTTAATGAAAGTAAAAACTAGGAATCATTAAGATTAGAAAGGACCTCTAAGATCATCAGTCCAACCATCAACCCAACAGCACCATGTCCACTAAACAATGTCCCAAAGGGCCACATCTACCTAGTTTTTTAAGACCTCCAGGGATGGTGACTCCACCACCTCTCTGGGCAGCCTGTTCCAATGCTTGACTACCCTTTCCGTGAAGAAATTTTTCCTAATATCCAATCTAAACCTCCCCTGGCGCAGCTTGAGCCCATTTCCTCTCATCCTATCGCTTGTTACTTGGGAGAAGAGACCAACACCCACCTCACTACACCCTCCTTTCAGTTGTAGACAGCGATAAGGTCTTCCCTCAGCCTCCTCTTCTCTAGGCTAAACAATCCCAGTTCCCTCAGCCGCTCTTCATAAGACTCGCTCTCTAGACCCTTCACCAGCTTCGTTGCCCTTCTCTGGA